GACTAATTCCAAAGGTATAAGAAAACTGGAAACAATAAAGCAGAACCATGGGAAATACATCTGCTGGTTTAGAAAAAAGCCACTGGAAAGACAGACTACTAAAGTCATCATGTAATGTGACTTTGGCTAAAGATTAGAAATGACATTGTGACATTGTCTTCTTTGATTTATTTTCCAAGCTGGTGCCCCTAACACACTGGTTTCAAAACTGGGAATAAGCCATCTAAGACGGTTTAATGGACAATCAGTTCCCCTTCTCCCCAGCGTTCTCTTCATCCTACTTGTTATACCCAAATTATATGGATTAGGACATGTGGAGCCACCCTAAAAGAGTCTCACCAAAACTAGATGAGTAAATCCCAACAAAAAGAAGAATTAGAGTCCTGCATGAAAACCTCTACTGACACTTCTACCTCTGCTATATACCTCTGCTGACACATCTACACCAAACCTGCACCAATGCAACTACACCATAAACCTCTGCCAATGCAACTACGAAGTGTTAAAATCCCATAAAGGATAGATGACTAAGTCCAATGGAACTAGAAGACATTATCATACTGACATACTCGAACTCTATTGTAATACACTATAAATACTCATGCATAGACCTAGGGGAGGGTTCTTTGTCTTCTCTCTCATTCAACCATTGTAGCTCTCTTTCATCAATAAGGTTCTCAGTTCCATTTGTTTTTTCGTGTTAACACTACTAATGTATAATATCTACTAAGGCAACAATAACTCTAACAGAGTCAGGATGAGCAACACCACCAAAAGCAAGACTGGAGATATTTCAAGCACAGATATATAACAGAAGTATGATCAACAACACTTCTAGAAGCAACAAACTCGAGAATTTAAAGAACACATACCTCACAGTGGCCATCTACAAAAACCACATGTGGCCGATTGGGCAAAGCAGTAACCCTTGAAGACACGTATGCACTATACCAATCTGTCACAGTGTGGAAAATGTTTGCATACTCAAATCGTGTAACCAAAAGTGTAGGCTCCTCTACCCACTGTAAATATAACTTTCTCATATCATCATCCATGAGGAAAAAAAAAAACATACAATTAACATAAAGAGACAATTTCAAAGTAAAAATTGAAAAGGCCAGCTACCATAACATGAACTGAGCTCGTTATTTTCTTAAATGTAGGCAAGTTTAATCACCCAACTATTCTTCAACAAAGATAGTCTGCATATTTCTTTCAAGCTAATGTTCCTGATTGTATAACAAAATGCATTAAGAATCAAAGAAATAAATGATAAACATTTCTATTAAGATCTCCAATTTAGAGACACCCAGCTCAAGATTTCAAAGCAGCTTCTCTCTTGATTAGATTCTTACTTGGGGCAATATGAATCAAAGATATAAGAAAAAGAACAGACTAATTAACAACATCTCAGTTCAGATGATCAACATTCCATGTTGCAAAGGAAAAAGTTACTAAAATTGCATAAAGTAATCTCTTTAATAAGGACATAGATTATCAACATTTTCATTAAAATTCTTCCCAAATTCCTCCAGAATTAGAAAGTAAGATCAGAACTTGAAAAACCCAAAACCCTAACCTCCTCACAATTAAAATCATTTTCATCAGCAACTTGAATCGACTTGATCAAGCCCCTCATAGTGTGTCTCAAGATACCCCCAACAGGAACATACTGATCCAAGAATTCCTCACTCACAAGCCTGCTCTGCTTCTTCCCACTTCCGCCATCCACCTGAAACGCCCCGTCTTCAAACTCAGGCAGCTCCTCCTCCTCCCCTCTCCCCATAACCTCCTCTAATCTCTCCCCTCCCTTGGACATCCTGATCTTCCCAGGATCCATCCTTATTTTCCCACCCTCACAAACAGAGCACCGGAGAGTACGAGAGTAGTGGCATCTGAACCAGCCGCCACTGGATCTCGCCGCCGGCTTCGGTGGGATAACCTCAATGACCTCTGTGAAACCATTCCCAAAATAGGCCTCACAAGATCTATATCCGACATCAGAGGTCTCAGACCAGGGGAGGTAAGAGGGAAGTATAGGCCATGGTTTGGAGAACTGGGACGTGTTTAACGGGTTTTGCTGGGTCTCTGGGAGGTGGGGAGCGGCGGAGTGAGAGGAGAAGTAGAAGTAGAAGTAGAGGGAGATTGAATTGAGGGCAAAGAGAAAAAGAAGGATCTTGAGGAGCGTGGAAAGCTTCCTGTTCATGGTTTAATCTCTGTGTTTTGTGTTGTGTTAAAGTCTGAGTTTTTGTTCCCAAGCTTCGAACTTCCCTTCTGTACAGTTAAGACTTAAGACTAAAAGAGTTAGTTTCTGTTATGAAAATGCAGAGGATTTATGGGTCGGAGAGATTGGAAAGATTGTCGTATTTTGTCTGGATTCTTTTCTTCTTTGCTGTAAATTTGTTCGATTCCTTTTTTTTTTTACTCATTTTAATTCTGGACGTGGGTCAAGAACTGATGACAACCGGAGAGACATGTCCTATTTTTGTTGGATTTGATATTTGTTTAACGGAACCATGATGAACCGTGTGTACTGCACTGTGCTAATGGACGAGGTCACGAGGGACGAACGCACCAGTATCCTGTTTAATATTATATAATCAATAACTTAAATTTTACTCATATTTTTTTTGTTGGAAATAAATTTTTTTTAATTCAAACAGTATATTATGTGAATGAGATAAGATAAAAAATAAAAAATGATTATCTTTCCATTAAAAATCAAGATAAAATATATATAATATAATTTAGTATAATTTAAATTATGTTATATATTTTTTTTGTGTTTTTGGAGAAACACTTTTTTCTTTGTTTAATTTTTAATGTAGTAATAGTATTTTAAAATGTATAGATTAAAAGTATATTTATTATATTTTTTATAATTAATTTAAATTAAAAAATTAAATTTTAATTTTAATTTTATAAATTATTTAATTATAAATATATGTGTAATATTTTTTTGATAAAAATAAAGTTAATTTTTGTAAATTTTTATAAAAATTAAATATAAAATGATGCAATTGATGCTCTCTTAAAATCTCAATTTAAATAAATCATCTTTTAAATCTATTCGATTAGTGTTGAAAGTATTTCACAATTCATACCATAAAATATTAGTTACTCAAGGGATATGATCTCCTGTAAGGTGAAGTTTATAATTCAATAACTAATATTTCACATTTTATATCATAAAATACTTTTTTTTTTGTTTTTTTTACTAAAAAAATAGTATGTTTAACTTTTTCAATCCTAAACAAATGTTTTTAGGCATAGATTGAAAAACAATATTCTCTTTTAGAGGAGTAACTACTTATAATGTTAACTCACCTATAGTTCCCAATCTCTACATATAAAAAAAAGGTCAATTATATTTTTTTTATGATGGAAAAAAAGGGTCAATTATAAAATGTGATATCATAGAAAAAATATTATAGGTCTATTTATTTTGGTTTCTAGAATTTTCCCCTTCTTCGCCTAAGCATTTCTACTATTTTTTTCCCTTCAAATTTCTTGTTGACTAATGGTACAATGAAGATAAAAAGTCATTGATGCTTCTCATCATACTTATCTTGGCTTTTTCAGTAGTAGTTTGTATTTCATTGTAATTCTTAAATAATGTAAGAGTTAAAATATCAATTATACTTCAAATACATAAATTTTGATTTATAAAAAATACTAGTGTACATATACCCTTACCATAATTATGAAGTCATAATACAGAGATATGAAAATACTTGCATTGACTCTGCTAGTTTTGAAATCTTCTACTTTGTTGCCCAAGATCATACTCAAGTACAAATTCTTCCAAACCAGCACAATTTCGCAGAAATTTCTCCAGAAGTTCCGGGTTTGGATTTTGAATGTTGACAGCTCAAACCTAATAAGCGTTGATTTGATATGATTAAGTAAACTAATGACACCTCTTTACCTAATATACTTGATTTTTTCCTACAGAAGAAAAAAAAAATTTACATATTGAATGAATACTGAGACATCGGTATTATTTTCCTTTTCATGAAAATGTGAAATGAAACAAGAATTATAAATCGAGACCAATAGCAGCTTCCGATCTCCAATGCCTGGCTTTCTCAAATCCATTGGTGAAGTTCTCAAAATCATCTATTGTTTGATCAATCTCTTCTTGTGTGTTCATAACAAAGGGTCCAAACTGCACCAGAGGCTCCCCCAATGGTTGACCTCCAACTAGAATGAACCTCAGCAATTTGGAGGATTTGTTCCATGCCTCCAAACCATCCCCTGATCCCAGAAGGAGAAGATTGTGGGCTGTCACTGGTGATGATTTTGAGCTGCCAAAGACGCCTTCACCTTCCAAGACGTAAACAAATGCATTCCATGACATTGGTATTGGTTGCCGAAGGTGAGCACCAGGTTTGAGAGTAAAGTCTAGATACATTGTTGGGGTCCTGGTGTAGACTGGTGACTTTGTCCCTAATGCCTCGCCAGCTATGACTCTAACCTTGATTCCATCTTCTGTTGCTTCTGCAATGTCCTTACTCGATATCTCTTGATACCTTGGCTCAATCCTATGGATATAATAATTAAGTCAAATTTGAATTCATTTTCATTCATTAAAGTTCACAAGATTTTTGACATGTATAAAGCTAGTGGAACAAGCATTATAGACATCATAATCATTTCAGGATCCTTTCTTCCAAATGGGATTCAAAAGAAAGGCACAATAATTGTAAAGGGCTGGCCTCACCAGGCAAGATGCACACACAGCACAATGTGTGTGCTGCATTTGAAAGCACTTTTACAAAAGGATCCATAGTGATGAATATTCTATTGCAGAAATCAAAATCCCAAAATCACTCAAACTAATCTATGTTGACGTTGTCATTTTGACACGATATTAGGTTCCAAATGCTACCAATTAGTCAATGAAGACACTATTCTTGTCCCCCGCGAAAATACTTACATTTTTTGTTTGGAGGAGAGATTGATCCACAGCTGCAGACCCTTCTGAGTTCCTTGTGCTGCAGGCATTTCTGAGTGAAGAATTCCTCTCCCTGCAGTCATCCATTGGAGGTCACCGGGGCCTATAGTCCCCTTGTGCCCTTCAAAGTCTTCATGTGTAACAGCTCCCTATCAAATCAAACGATTAAACACAACCAAAGTAAGTAGACATATCATATAGAATCATCAATCCAGAACTCCCAAAATTCAAATCAGAAACTACTAGCATGCTGTTTCGATCATGTAAAGTCAAGGTTTGTTTACACTTTTCTTTGGCATTTTACACTTCTTTCCCATGTAAATTATGTTGCACTTGCATTCCCTTTGGACATGGAAGACTGTCTATTGAGAGTTGATCATATGTTATTTTCATTTAAGCTAAACAATCACATCAATCTGACCCATTACGCGTGAGATACTAACATATACATTAAAATGAAACTCAATTTATTATAATATTGGCAAGTATGGATGGCTTCTACTTTCTATCCATCTTCTGTTCTACCTATTTTTGCTTTACAAGAAGAAATAGGAATGGAAAAGGCCAAAAGGGTATGATCATATAATGTTTGTGAAAATGCCAAACAAAAAAATCCATCCTAAGAAATATCAGTTACCGTACCTGCAGCATATAGGTGACTGTCTCAAATCCTGTTATTACCAGAAGGAAAACAACAAGGAGAATTAAACTAATTTCAAGCCTTAACAAATGTTTCAAGAAAGCATAAGCAGAAAACAGATGGAAAAACCATCATACCTCTATGTGGATGATCAGGAAATCCAGCAGGGGCAGTAACTGCAATACCCAGAATAAAGAAAAAAAAATCAAGAAAATGAACAGACCCAGAGAAGGGCCAATACGTTCCCATGAAAACAGAGGAAAACACAGACACCCACCTGAGAATTCATCCAAAACAAGAAAGGGATCAAAGTATCTCAACTCAAACCTGCAAAACCAAAGACACCCATCAGTCAAAACATTCCAAATCCCCCAAATTTCATTCATTTCAATCAAAATCTAACACCAAAAATCCCATGACTGATTCCCTCTCCCTTACCTTCCTATGCTTCTCCTCACAACAGCTCCTACTCCCTCAAGCTGGGGCCTAGCCAAGAACTTCCTCACTACCATCCTTGGCTCTTCAAAAGCCCCACTAGAACTATCCCTCCCGTGCATTTTTCCTTTTTTCTGGATTCCAACTTCAAATTATAATCAGAGAAAAATTGGGTGTTTGTGCAAAAAGAGCGAGATTTTGAACCCATATATAAAGATGGAAAAGCTTTGGTGTAAAGATTGGATTTTTAATGAATAAATTAGGAAGGTCAAACGTGAAGTGTTTGTTGGCGGCCAAAAGTCCCCACAAGGGAGTTTCCATGAGCGCGAGGGACCTTCGATTCTAAACTCTGTAGACAGACGTCAGCATAGCGTTATCATGATGTGGGGAGCTGGGAAGAGCATTGATGAGAAAAAAATTTTTAATGTAATTTTTATATGTAATTAAATTAATAAATATATTTAATATTGTATGTGTTAAATAAATAAGTTATTTAAATTATATAAAAATTTAATTTTTGAGAAAAAAATTAAGATACGTTGTCATTAAAAATATTAAAATATTTAATAACTTATTAAATATATAAAGTATAATGTAAAATTTAAATTTATTAAATTTATCATGTAATTTTTTTAATAGGTTTACAATTTTAGGAATGAAGAAATTTCAACCTAACCCTTGAGTTGAAGATGTACCTTATAAGTCGGTTTATAGTTGTTGAGTTATGAAACTTATGTATAAATTTATTATATAATTATTATTAAATATTTTAATATTTTTAAGAGTAAAACAATTATGATATTTTCTTTTTTCTTAACTTTTAATTAAATTTTAAATTGAAAATGAGATATGACCGTTGATGGGTGATACGTGGACAGCTATGGTCCAGTGGGAATCATTGGTGGAGATCAACATGCCTAAGTGGACAGAGCTCAGAGATGAGTCATGCTCATGCATGGGTTGATGTAGGACCCAATAGTTGCTTGACCTTTAGAAATGAGGAATTAATTTTGGTCCATAAATAGGATGGCTGGGTGGCAACGCAAGGAGCATTTTGGTTTTCCTCATATTCACATTCTTTGCTCTTTAATCCTCCAATAACAAAAGAAAGTAATAAAAAGATATTCTTCTTCCATTTTGCTTTTCCTCATATTTACATTCTTTGCCCTTAATCTTCCAATTGAGCAAAGAAAGTACTAAAAAGTTAGTTTTATTATATGAAAAATGATTTAAATTTGTTTGGATTTAAGTATTTTAAATATATAAAAAGTACAATGAAACTACAATCTACAAATTTAGATTTTAAAAAGTTTTAAGTTTAAATTTTTTATTAACAAAACATGTTTATTAGTGCATAGATAATTTTTTTTTTTCAATTTGGATTGTGAAAAAAGAAAATGCAGTTAGGATAACAAAAGATATTTCTTAGCGCATATATATATATATATATGAAAAATAAATAAATAATGGTTAATATGTAAGTAAGTTTTCAAGAAGTATTACACTTAATTGTGTTTTTTTCTTCTAAACTTAAATAAGTTGTTGAATATATGAAAAGTTAATAATAAAGTAAAAATGAAAGATCTTATCAAAAGAAAAAGATCTTAGATGTGGGGTTTGTCTAAGTTTTTCTCCTTGCTCCACATATGAGCTTCTTGACTATTGGAATCCTCATTTATTGTTTCTTCTCCTTTTTTTCCAATTAAAATGCATTTTGATTCAATTGAAACTCTACCAATTAATCCTCCCTATGTGACTAGGTCCATGCCAAAATTAACAAAAACCTAAGAAATGGGTAAAAATGAATCTAGTCTTTGATGCAAACTTATATTCAATTGAAAAAATGATTTATCTTGCTATGTTAAAATGCTAAAATGGTATCAAATTATCTACATTTAAATATATTTGAGGTTGCCAATGACTTAAACAATTTAATGGTAATTTTTTCATAATAAAAATAAAAAATTTTAAATTTAAATCATATGTCATATACATAAACTAAAAAAATGATATGAAAAAATTGTTTTTGATTGTATCACTTCAAAAAAAAAAAAAAACTTGAAGCTTGATTAAGTAATTTTTTATTAAGATTTTCTACTTTTTTTTTCTGTGTAAACATCTAAATTCAAATTTAAAACATTTAATTTGAAAACACTTTCTTATAAAAAAATTTAGTAAATAAACATTAATGTTGAGGCTTGATTTTTTTCATTATTGATGGGTGCGTGCATCCTATCTTTCCTAGATGGGTCAATTTCTGAGCCTTCTGACATCATTTGTACGAAAGCATGACACAAAGTCGAGGGAAACAGAGAGTCAAATTATTAAATGTGTAATGTGGGTAGTATAGTACCTATGATGCAGAATTTTCAAACCATTTACTAATTCAAAACAGCTGCTTCGGGCATATGTATCTTTCATATTTATCATGATTTCTGAGATTATAAAATCATCATCATCACATCATTTTTCTTGGCTTAAACAAATTCTCCTTCTGGTTTCCAACCCATTTTTCACATGTCCATAACATTATCAGCTGTCAAAGCTGCTTCCCAGATCTTTCTCCTTGCCCTTTAACACTTAATATACTTTTTTTAATATACTTAATTAATCCTTAATATACTTAACATAAAATAATAATATAATAATATAGAAATAATATAATAATATAATCCTTTATACTACAGATAAACTGATAATTTATTATTAAAAAGGCTTAATTATTCTTTATTTATTTCTTAATTGAAATTTTTTAATTATACTTTTAAAGTATAGGTTAATGATATATTTATTACAT